TAAGGATTAATTAGTCCTTAAACGTCTGAGTTGGACTTAATCACTCTGCATACGTGAAACCTACAATGTTACTTAGTTTCATAATGTAAGAAAACGTTTCTAATATATTTCAAATGATGATTATGCTAAAAAATTTATAGACTTTCAGAGATACCCAAACACAGAGCTGCTATTTCATTTAGCAATTTAACACTGCAGCTTCTTGGCTATTTTTTTTTTTCACGTTATAAGCAATGGGTGGATTGCAGTGAAATCATCCAAATCCGTTACAACATAATGACGCAACAAACATACATACACCTTCAACACTTTTACACTTTTAACCAGCAACTTACGTATACTCGAACATGTGTAAGTATATACTTGAAGCCCAACAGTACCTCATGTACTCATACAAATCCTCCAAGCAGTTTCAGCGTTAAGCATTAATAAAAAAAAACAGTCATTAGGACTGCCGACAGAAGTGAAAACGTAAAACTATAAACAAACTGTTGTTATTTTTGGATATTCAAATTAATTGTTTGATTTTAAATTAAAATTTGTTAATTCAAACTGTTTACATTTATCTAGTTTTGACATCTATCGGCGCTCTGAGTGTTAGCGTTAACAAGTCACGTGACCATGTCGATGACGACTTACATGAATTTACTCCCAGCCAAACCTGCCTATAGACGTTTTCACTTCAATAATAAACATATTTTTCAATAATACTTTCTTAGTATAATACTTTCTTAGATTTATACGAATATTTGACATTTTAAATAAAACTATCTTTTCGGATTTTTGGTTTATTTAATTTTTTCCACTCGCTTTATCATAACCACACTGTTTAACACTTGTTCATGGAAGAAGAAGTAACAAGTGTTTTTTAATATAATATTAATTTAATTGTCTATATTTTTTGCGACCATGAATTGATGTTCCCTGTTACAATTTACAACATATTTATCCGCCATAAAAATTACGTTAATGCTCTTGCTCTGTAGATTTCAATTGTAGGTTATTTAATTACTATAATTAAAATTAATCGCTCTTCGATGGCCAGAGTCGCACTGAAGATTTTATAGTCAATATTTGTTATATTTTGTATCCAGCTATTCAATATTATCATAGAGAGACTATATAAAATAAATTATACTAACATAAATATGGTAACACTAACGGCTTATATCGACTCTACCATTGAGCTTTATATATTTTTTATAATAAAATTGAATGAATGAAATCAGAAATGAAGCGTATTTCATTGATTAGGCGAAAAAGAATTATTTCTAAAGTTTTGATTGTTTTCTACATACCTATATAAACTTTTCCACCCCTTTTTAGTGCTTTGAGCAATGAATTTCTTTTAATGCTTTTTAGTGGTTATCCAAAAAGTCTACATAGGGTATACTGTGATAAATTATAATCAACGCGTAGACTAACTCAATTTAAGCTATATAGAGCTCATTAGTCATTCAGTTACCTATAGGCTACATTATAAAAAATAGTTTTTGATCTTTTAAAATTTTGTGTATACGCTACATTATAAGAAATCGTTTTTGATCTTTAAAAATGTCATCCTGAACACATTTTTTATGACATGCAGGTACGTTTATATAAAACTTACTAAACACTTTAGACACATTTAAAAAAAACTAAATGATATATAGCCCATAGCCTTCCTCAATAAACGGGTAAATATCTAATGGAGAAAGAATTGTTAAACAAACTCAACCTCTTTAGTGTGTGTGTAGCTGGCACAGTACACTGTGCCAGCTATACAGATAAATAAAATTGAAGTGCTTGTTTGGAATGTCAAAATAACAGCGTTTTACTAAATGCATATGAAATTATATACGGTACCTACTTAAAAGAAAACACATTTTTTTTTTTAATTCTGTCTGTCTGTTTGTTCCAGATAATCTCTGAAGCGGCTGGACTGATTTTGGCGGGACTTTCACTGGAAGATAGCTGATGTTGTAGGGAGTAACATAGGCTACTTTTATTTTAGAAAAAGAATTAGGGTTCCGCTCAAAACAATTAAAACCTACCTAGGCACGAACCCGAGCGAAGCGAAGGTGAGGCGCTAGTATTGAATAAAATTTAAAAAAAAATGCCCTGAACTAAACCCCTCACTAAGTAATTTTAGTATTTTATACATGCAAATATTAAAGTAAAAATGCTATGTCACGATACTCAAAACCGTTTTATAGTTACACGTAAAGTTGTTTACGCGTGTCAGGGGGTCAGGGGTCTCTTCAAATTGATTTATAATTATTATTTATTACTTTCCGTCCACTTTGTTATGACTGTCATAAAATGTTCAGAAGAAAATTGCTTTACATGCAAAACAAAATTGCATCAAGACTAAGAAATAATATAGACAGAGCGTCATAGACCTAAACATAACGTCAAACAATAGGTAATGATTTTAAATAGGTATATCTTCTATCTATAGGTACGTCATATAATAAAATTCTAACCGCGTCGAATGCGTGCATTAAATATTTTTTTGTAAATTTTATTAAAATAATCACTTTTATCGATACAGAGGCCGAATCTATAATTTTTAGAATTTTTGTCTGTCTGTCTTTCTGGGAACGCATCACGAGAAAATCAATGAACAGATTTTAATAAATTTTTGGCATAATGATAGCTGGTTATCCGGGTCAACATAGAGGATACTTTTTTCAGCGGGAAATATCTCATCTTATTTCAGCAAACCCCTGTTAGATCTAGTATGAGACTTAAATATAAAGGTTTCAAATTTGAATATACTTTTTGCAAGGTCTATTGAATCGTTAATTTTTATAACTAATTTCAAATGACATACTTACATATAGGTAGGTACATACATATATGTGATTTTGAGAAAAATGTGCAATGTGCATATTTTACCTCGTAATTTTATCTGTATTATGTATACATTAAATATTTTTAAATCAATATATTTTTACTTTCCAAAGACAAATATTTGTCAATTTGAATGCATTTAAATTATACCTATTAAGATACTAGCGGCTCACCCTAGCTTCGCTCGGGTTAGTCTGTAGTTACGTTTTAAATACTCATAGATATAAAAAAAATATTATAAAAATAAAAAAGCTCGACTGCATAAAAGTTAACTAAAAAGATGAAAACAAGTTGACGAAGGAATATAGTAATACTAGCGGCTCACCCTCGCTTCGCTCGGGTTCGTCGCTAGGTACGTTTTAAATAGATATAAAAAGAAAAAATCTTTCTTTCTCACATTTTAATTATATGTTTTAATACTTACCTATTCCGGACTAAGAGAAATCCAAAAATTAAAATATCATAAAAATCTGAACGCGGTCGAACGGGATAAAAAGTATCCTATGTCCTTCTCCTGGCTCTAAACTACCTCCCTGCCAATTTTCAGCTAAATCGGTTCAGCCGTTCTTGAGTTATAAGCGAAGTAACTAACACGACTTTCTTTTATATATATAGATGCAGTCGGAGACATAAACGTTTCATCCTTGTCGCAAGATGTATGGACATACGTAGGTATGTCTCCGATTGCATTATGCATTTAGTTCTTAAAAGATAAATCTGAACCCATATAATATAACTTACGTATCTGTATGTATGTCCGACTATTCATTTTAGGAAACAAATTTAAAAGTTTTTCAAAGAAGTCTCTCATAAAGTCTCATAAAGTGACATAGAAAAAGGAAATTGTCTATATATTATATGTATAGGTATATTATAGAGTTATGACTTGGAATTTATGGGTTCCACTCCGGAACTATTGATACGATTGCGAAAATTCTCTCTCAGAACCATAGCTTCTAAAGATGTCTGAGCGAAACAAGAGTGTCTTGCTATTTAATAATTTTTAAATGCAATGTTTAAAATATATTAAAGAAAATTTCCGAAAACATTACATTTTCTATATCTTATCGAAAACCATTGAGACTAGAATTTCAGAAAAAAACTGAATATATAGTGCCTCAATTATAGTTGCCTAAATTTCTTTCGTCACAATATACAGAACCCTCGTTGACGTAATTCCGACTCGCAATACACCATTTATTAATTAAACTTGATCTTATTACATATTTAATAATAATTTTAAACTAAGCCACACAAGAGTCAGAATTTTTTATTCTATTTGCGTTCTAATTAAATAATTGCTTTTAGCTATATTTAGCGCAGATCTAATGCAGGAAGTCAAGTGATTTGGTTTAAAATATATTTTTGTACAAATTAAAACATTTTGAGCGCATTTAATGTAGCCGTTTAAATATAAAACTTATAAATATAACGAAATATGATAAAATTACGAAGATAAATTTTATAACTCATAAATAAAGGCTACTCTAGTGGTTTAACAAGTAGGTACCAGTGCAATATTCAGAGCTAAGGTATCCAAAATTCATCTTCTTAGGAAGGAAGCCATCTTCTTCGAATGGGAAGAAGTTGGCTTATGTTAATGTAATTTTTAAGTTAACCGCAATTTTTTTTCTAATTCAAAAAAATAGTTAACATTAAACTATCGCAATTTTTTGCTACAAGTTCTAAGACTGGAAAAGAAACTCAGTCTGACTTAAAGTATTTTATTTTTTACAGTAATTCTCTAATATTGCAATAGCATTTATAATATAATAAAACTTCTTTTTTAAATCCCACGTTTTGTACTTTTACATAACATGATGCCATCTAGCCGTTTTCGGCCACAGCGACTGCATTACGATGGCTTTCTATGGCGGTAGTCGCGAGCTTCGATGTGCTGCTCTTTCGTGTGCTCTCATGTGGATGACATATCCAACTTTGGCTGAAAAGCTCCGAGCACAAAGCGGACATGTCAGAACACCATTGATGACATTGTAATAATTTACAGCTGTAGGTGGCCTAGGTTTAAGGTCGTCACGTTTTGTACTTTTACATAAACTTACTGTTTATTGATTTGTTTGTACAATAAGTTAAGTAGTAAAATAATAACATGAAGAATATACATGGACGAACATACAATAGAATTGTTAGTAAACGTAACCAACCTGTTGCACCACTACATCGAGCGGTTGACCTGTTTGCAATTCTTCTGACGGCCGCCTTGTCGGCCTAACTGCATATTCTCTTTCCCCTATGACCTGTAAGAAAATACGTTATTATAATAATGATAACTAATGATGTTTTATATATATATATCATACATCAAAATCTGTCCAGTTTTTTTCTCGTGATGCGGTAACAGGCAAACAGACAGACAGACAGACAGACAAAATTTCTACAAACTATGGATTAGGAATTTGTATCGATAATAATGTCTATTTCAATTAGATTTTCCAAAAAATGTTTAATGTACCTACAGATTCGACTTAGTTACAGTTTTATTATAGGTATGTATAGATATATTCTCGGACCTAGATTAAGCCTTTGGACCTAGTTCTATGTAATATATTAAGCATATGCCTGCATATTTGTTTTGTCTTCTTTTTTGGAATCATTGGAATAGCTGCAAAATTTAAGGTTTGTTTCATTTCTATAATACTTTCTGCGATTTTAAATTGATAAGGGAGTGATATTTCGATTGTAAATACATATATCGATATACACACCTACTTCTTATATGTTGTGTAGGTACCTACGTCGGTGTGCTTTGCTTTGTATGGGCTGGCACCGATTTCGAAAATATTTGATTAGGTATGTATTTAATAGGTAGGCTTTAAATTACGTAGCCAAAGCACACCGACTTCGAAAATATTTGATTAGGTATGTATAGTAAATAAAAACTACCAATCAGTTATTTCTTACTTTTTAGTGCTTTTGTTTGAAGTCGGTTTTTTTTTTTGTTAAAAAGTTTTTATTTTTCCCTTTTTAGTGTAGACAGTAGTAGCAAAGTAAGAATTCTAAAGTGTTAGGCTTGTCAAATCAAACAAAATCAGCCCAAACTCAAAGTATCTACTATTAGTCGTTGAAGAGTTCCACCTATCCACCTTCTGGCCTTACCATCAGATCAGGTCAACAATACCGAACCACTGTATTATCAACGGAAATTAGAAACACTTGCAAAGTTTCAAGTCAATATGACAATTAGAAGTAGGTTAAATTCATCATTAGCTATTTTTCCACCCTTAGGGGTGGTATTTTTTTTTTATTTAAATGGGACCAATCTGGAAGTATACCCTTTCAAACAAAACAAAAATTGTCCAAATCAGTTAATAAATGACGAAGTTCTGAGGTAACAAACATAAAAAAAAAATACAGTCGAATTGAGAACCTCCTCCTTTTTGAAGTCGGTTGAAAAGGGTGTCATCGGATGATTTTTCACCCTGACTTCAAAAAAAAGAGGAGGTTCTTAATTCGAGGTTAATATTTTTTTTTATTTACGTTCGAGTATAACTCCGTCATATATAGATAGACGGATTAGCAAAATTCTTTTTTCCTTTCAAAAAGGTTTATTCCTAAATGGTCCCATTTAAATTAAAAAAAAAATCCAGTCTTAAGTGTTGAAAACAGGAAATGAGTGATTTTTCACCTACTAATTTTTAAAATACTTTTTTCTTATTTTGCTACTTCTATGTCTACACTAAAAATAGAAAAATAAAAACTTTACTTTTTAGTGTTTTTTAAGACTTTTTTTTGTCTTAAAAAAACACTAAAAAGTAAAAACAATTCGTTGGTAGTTTTCATTTAGGGGATACCTAAATACCTATTTTCGAGGTCGATCTGCTTTGATTTGTATCGGCTAGCACCGACTTCGAAAATATCTGATTAGGTAACTATATTCTATACCTACTAAATGAAAACTACCTATCAGTAATTTATACTTTTTAGAGGTTTTTTTGAAGTCGGTTTTTTTATCGTAACATTAAATATACTCGTACTTGCTTTTTATGTTTTGATATTACATTTTTATAAACATTAATTTTTACGATAGGTACGATAGTTTTTAAGGTCATTTTTTTTATTTGCATTATTTCAAGAAGAAGATGTAGGTAATTTATATTTAGTTTTGATTTAGTAATTTCATTTTACTTTTTAATTTCTGAAACTATAGTAGTAATTTTATTAAGCTAAAGGTTACAGAGATTACATTTTACTTACCAAGTACACACAATCAAGTTTTGTAACAAAAAATGTTAACCAACTTAAAAAATAACATAAAAAAGTTAGTCTTCGAAGAATACATTATTTATTAAAAAAAAGAGTAACAAAAATCTTTTCACAGTTGGCGAAAATATCACGTTTTGAATACTTCCTTTTGAAGTCGGTCAAAACTAAAAACAGTTAAAAATAAAATGAATCGCTGCGTATAACATACCAAGTACAATATTATACAAAACCTACTTTAAAGTATAAAAAAATGATGGCGTTAGAAGCAATCATCAAACATCTCATAAAATTTTAGTGGTAGTGCCTAGTGCGAGGGTACATTAATTTTATTGTTAGTATTCTTAATAATAATAATTGCAAGAGTGATTTTAATAAACTAACTCTATTAACGTTTACGAACTACGTAATAAGGCTAACTTATATGACTTATGATAATATCTGATATGTACCTGTGTAGTAGTGATAAGTATATGATATTGGATATCACAAGAATATAATAGATGTACCTACAACATATCATGTTACAAAATTTTTTCTTTTAAAGTTTTATTGAGATCTATACTAATAAATGGAGAGCCGATTTTTTTGTTCGGTTATACTGCGATAACTACTGAACCGATCGGAATAATACTCATATCATAAGATGCAGCGTGTTTCGGAAAAGGTTTTAGTATATGATATGTTGGTGATTAATGTACTATGCGCGCAGAGCCGCAGATATATACGTATATGTATGTTAATGTAAGTTATCCTAAAATATTTCTGCTAATAATAACGCGGTCCATAAAACGTAAAGCACTTACGGAATAATTTAGATTTCATTAAATAAAAATGTTTTCGTTTTTTTTTTTGCGGATTTATTTTGATTTTTGGTTCATTTAAAACGTCGGGGACCAAAAATCGAAATAAATCCGCGAAAAATCCGTAAATTCGTTTTATTTAAAATGTAGTAATTTTTACGTAATTTTCAACAAAAACATAAGAACCGTATCAAAAACTGTTCAATATCTAGTTCCTCTCGAACAGGTGTGCAAGACGGACGAAATTGCGGTAATGTTAACTAACCTATATATTACAGGGGGAATGCCATCATAAAATGGAATAGGACTCCACGTTTCTAATTTCAGCGTTCAGCGAATCAGGTGCCAGCTTCTGCGCTTGCGCAGTACCAACCAATCACACGGAGAACATATTTGTAAACAACATGGCCGATAGACGTGGTATATATAGTTTAATATCGGAATAAGTATATATAGTGAAAGTTTGTATGTGTATGTTTGTTACTATTTTATGTTTAAACAGCTGATGGATGTTTAGCACACATATAGGCTATTAACGGGAGTATTTAGGCTATTGTTAGGTACACACTACAAGAACAATAAATAAGGTGACTTTACCTATCAGTTCAAATTTAAAATAGAGCTGTTAATTTTGGTTTATATAATTTAAATTATTAACCGTCTTCTTTTTAATGTATTTTCACCGATTACACGAAGACCACTGAACCGATTTGGATTTTTTTTCAAAGGGTAGGTATAGGTATATACTTCCCAGGTGGTACCATATAAATTTTATCGAAATAGTTCGAGCGGTTTTAAAAAAATCAACAATAAATATATTTTTTTAAATAAATTGTTTAGTCGAATATGTTATTAAAAACTTTCTCTAAAAATGGAAAAATAAAAACTTTAATAAAATAAAAACCGACTTCCAGGCACCAAAATGTAAAAAAAATGTGAAAACCCTCGTTTAGTTATTTTTTACAATTTAGTGCCTGGAAGTCGGTTTTTTTTTCAGTCTTATGTTGTTAGATAATCATAATACATAATTGATTAATATCTAAGTTACAAGATCTTCACTAATATTTAAAAATTCGGTTAAAAACAACAGATATGACTTTATAAAAGACTAAAGTTTGACTAGTTTTCCAAGTTGCTCCACGTTTTTCTCCATTGTATGTAAAGTTTCGTACGTAATAGGTCGCGACACGCATTGCGCATGCGGCGGTCAAATGTCAGGTGACAATGGCGGGAAAACGTTCGTTTCAAAGCAATTTTTATGTTTCAATGTATATTTCGACAAATTAAAAATCTTTTATAAGATTACGTAAAATATACAGATTATAAAGAAGAAAATATATAAGGTTATTAAGAAATTATTGAAATTTTCCATTTATATATTAACATTTATTTAAATAAAATCCCTAAACAAGCACACATTTATGATATTACTAGCAGAACCCGCGTCTTCGCTCGCACTAAAACTACAAAATAACTCTAAAAAGGTAGTTGTCATACAAACTTTCATCCCCTATTTTACCCCCTTATGGGATGAACTTCGAAAAATGCTGAAACACTTATTTATTTAATTGTATTGAAGAGCAAGAAGAGCAGACCAAGTTTCAAACAACGATGATAAATAATTTTTTGGGTTGTATTATAACGTGTTTTGCCGCAGGAATGAGATAATCTCCCGCCTATGTCACTCTCTAGCCCTCCAACTATCTCCACACAAAAAATCACGCCAATCCGTTACTCCGTTTCGACGTGAAAGGACAAATAAACAAACACACTTTCACATTTATAGTATTAGTATATATATATTCTATAGCTTCGTCAAATAAATAATTATATTTGCATAGTAAAGTTATTTAAAAATACCCCGACTGTGAGTGTAAAGTGTAGGTACCTATACGTCATATACGTACGTTATGACGTACGTACATATATTTAATCATATTTAAATTAGTTTATATATATTTTTACATATATTAAATTTTTATACGGACACATCATGTCAGAAAAACGTGCTGAGTGTTACACTACCCGTTTTTTTTTTCCTAAATCAGGAAAGAGAATATTCCTGCAACTTCTTGCATTTCAGTCAGCCATACGGCACCGCCACTAAGTTGCGAACTTCATCCATAATTTATAGTAACCCCAAGTAATACGTCCAAAAATAACGTTTAGCAACAAAATTATAATATTACGTGCACATGTCGTATAAATAATATGAGTCTCCTAAATGGTGAAAA